CTGTGAACCATCATGCCTCTCAGACTCCCTACCACCGTCTCCAGAGGATATAGCAGAAACACTGCTTGAACTCTCTTCTTTTGCGACACTCTCCCACTCGTCCTCCCTGTCGGGGCAGTGCTTGTCAATGAGGGCACTGAGGCGGTATGCCACATCCTTCATGGTGGGTCGCCGTGTGCCGGGAGACTTGATGCAGTCCAGAGCCAGGTCTGCAAAGTCCACTATTGCCTCCTCATTTACTGCCGGCATCTTGCTGTCCCTCAGCTCATCCACCTCATACGCCTCCACCAGCTTCATAGCCTGGAGGGCAATGTACATGAATGGATGATGAATGGCGAGGCAAAAAGAGGTGGAAGGCGGCATGACAACAAGGAAACTGAGTTAAATCCAGCACTGCAACAAGGAAAGGCAGTGATAGCCAGCATGGCAACAAGTCAGTAAAAGCCAGCATTGCAAAACGGAAAGACAGTGAGAGCCAGACTGACAAGGAAAGACAGTGAAAAGCAGCATAACAACAAGGAAAGGCAGTGAAAGCCAGCATGAAATGGACTCCAGGATAAGCGTGCGGCAGTAAACTAATGAGGTAAAGAACGAATTATAAATCTGATCAGCATAAGTCTTGAGCCAAAACAGAAAGGGTTTCATACTTGATGTGCATACCCATTTTCTTATGTGCGTTTTTGCGTCAACTTGGGGTGACTTGCCACTCAGCAGCTCAAGAAGCACAATTCCAAAGCTGCAAGCAATCATCCACTTGGAAAAGAACTCAACATAGCCAGGGGGATAAAAAAGGGGGATAAAAAAGGATGTAGGGATAGCAATTCAAGGTAAAAGAACTCAACATAGCCAGGGGGATAAAAAAGGTGCATAAGTTTATTGTGCCGTGCAGAAGAGACAAGCATGCTCAGTGGTAGAGATACCACTACAGAGCATAACCTGGAGAAGAAAAAAAAAAAAAAAAAAAAAACAGAGGAGCATTCTGTTGTGCAAAGGAACAAGCATGCATGTGCACCTGAACACGTCACTCTTGACAGTGATGACACGGGTGCGGCTGTAGTCCGGATCCACATAGCCCGGAGTGCCAGCCACCCGGGTGACATCAGCATCGCCGTGAGTGAGGCGCTTGAGCAGCCCAAAGTCAGCCACCTTGGCTTGCATGTCGGGAGTCACAAGGATGTTGGCGGGCTTGATGTCGCGGTGAACGATGGGTGTGTCGAACCCATGCAGGTACGCCAGGCCCTCTGCTGCTCCGTATAGAGCAGAAAACGGAAACCGGAACATTTATACGGAGCAGAAACCGTTGTGTTAAGAATGATGGTATCATGTCGTTTGCAAAAACGAAAACCTTTAGCAACCATTGAACATTGTGCGAGTGCAACTCACATTTGGTGGCATGGATGTGGTACTCGAGGTCCCTGTTGGCCATGAACTCGTACACGAGGATCTGCTCCTGCTTGCCCGTCTCCACGTTCTGGTCCAGGCAGAAGCCCAGCAGGCGCACGAGGTGTGTGTGGTGGAGAGAGGCCATGGCTCGCACCTGCAACAAGCAGGCAGAAGCACATTGGCATGAAAAAGTGAGACATGAAAAAGTCAGCATTTTGGAAAGCAGAGAGTGCCGCATCTTCTCTTGTTGTGGAGAGAGGCCACATGGAACAATATCAACATTTTGGGAAGCAGAGAGTGCCGTGTCATCTCGTGATGTCTTGTCTTTTCTAGTGCACAGGAAACTAGAGGCATGCTTCACCTCCGTTTCAAAGTCGTTGGTCATGATGGTGGATCGCTTGATGGCCCACAGCTGGCCCTGTGGCGAGCGGCCTTTGTAGACAACGCCAAAGCCTCCCTTGCCCAGCAGATTATCCTCCGACCAGTTGTTGGTGGCAGTCAGCATCTGGTGCAGTGAGTACTGCTCACACACATCCAGACCCTCCCACTTCTCTGTGCACACAAAAAACGCCAGACAAGAGGAGTGAGGGACTAAGGTTGAAGATGAGTAGACAGAGCATGCATTCAGTGGAGAGGCAAGATTTTAGTGCACGAAATAGGTGAGACAGTAGGGGAGGACGTCGGGAAATAGGTGAAGCAGTAGGGGAGATAGGAGCAGTAGGTGAAGGACGCCGGGACATAGGTGAAGCAGTAGGGGAGACTAATGTAACTGAAAGGGAGATGGAACCGAAGGGTTTGAGGGGCTCACTCTGTCCGCGGGGCCACAGCAGCCATGCGACCACAGAAGCCAGTAGCGTGAAGCCAGCAAAGCAGCCCAGAACAATGCCCACTATGGCGCCTGACGACAGAGACGACACTGCCAAGAAATGGACATGGGGCGGTGATAAACCGTGTGCATTGCAGAAGTCTCATAAACGTGGTGATTGGTGCAGAACATAGGAATGAGGCAGTCCTGTGGAGCTGTAAGTTTGAAGAAAGGTTTACCAGTGTTGGTGGTGGAGTGGACGATGGCACATGTGGAGGAGCCGTAACCCGAGTCGACAGTGGTGTATCCCGCATCGCAGAGGCAAGTGAAGTTGGAGGGGGAGGCAGGGTCAGCCGGCACACACGCCCCATTGCCGTCACACGGGCCGTTGTCCGTGATGCTGCAGAACGCCTGGCAGGCTGCCGTGCTGCGCTGGGTGGCGTTGGATGAGCACTTTTTGTTGGGGGTGAGGGTCAGGCAGTTGCCTGACAGGGTCACCCTCGCCATCGTACCCGACTCTGCTCCGTAAGAATTTATATAGAAATCGCTGCACCTGCCACCAAGCTCTTGCCATGCATAGGTTTCCCAGAAGCCCAGGTTGTTGGGCTCGTTGACCTCAGTGGGGCAGACCTTGCAGCCGGCAGCAAAGAGCACCCCATCTCCAAAGAAGAAGTTTTGAGCCAAGTTGATGAGGGCATTCTTATCCGCCACTATGATCTCGAAGTCGCGGTTGATTCGCCCATACAGGCTGTTGCCGCTTACATCACTGCGGGAAGCACATGGGGATCACGGAGGGCAGGAGATGAAATTGTTTGGTCGGAAGCCGTCCCACCGGATAAAGATGTCTGCGCAATGCCCATGTTCAGGGTGGTACTGAGATTAGTGTTTGCATAGTAGGCTCACATTTGTGTGATGCACTTGTCAAAGAGGCAGTCTGGCAGGGGTCCATAGAGGTAGTTGTTGCTGATCAAGCTGTCGGCAGCACAACACACACCATGCCGCGCCGTGAGTCACACATCTATACAGAACAACAAAAACACAAAAATGAAACTACATCCAACAATCTCCAAATCACGAAAACAAGAGAGAAGTAAACTTCTTAAAGAGCTCGTACATTAAAGAGCTCCCAAATCCTGGCCAACAAACTTCTTAACCGAGTCCCAAATTGCGAGGCGCGTGGATCATGCTTTTAAAACTTGCCGAAGTGCGGTGTGCAAGCTTTGAAAAGCAGCGCACCTGCAATTTGGGACTTCCGGGTGCTGACACAATCCCCAGGGCGAAATACGTGGGTTGGCTGGATTAGGCGAAAAAAACGAAATGCCCGAAATCGGAATCAATCGCCAAAACCCAAACCAGAAAAAAACCCTCGCGTCATCCTTTTAAAACTTGTGCAATTTGGGCTTCCGGCTTTAAAGAGGTCAAATTGAGTGTATGACTGCCACTCACAGGCGCCACAGCCAGGGCAGCGAGCACAGGCCAGTTGGCAGAGGGCCTTCAATCTTGTTGTTGTCCAACCAGCTGGGGAGACAGGAAGAGCATTGGCAGGAACAAAGGCAGAAATGGCACAAAGAGCAGCAGGTGGAGTGGGGATGGCACAGGTGATGCTTGCGTGTTTTGGTCTCTTGTTTTCATTTCACGTGTGGAAGTTTGCAAGGTCTCTTATAGAACAAGCTTGCGCTTGTGATTCCTGTGCTGTTTCCAAAGCTGCCACCGTTCTTGAGAAATGTAGAGGAAGGCACATGGAACCCTCACATCTGTTCAAGATTCTCCAGTTGACTGATGGCGTCTGGCAGTCTGCCACTCAGATGGTTGTTGGCCAAATAGCTGAAGAGCAATAGCAATGGCAGGGAGACATTCCGATGAGAAGAAGAGCATGCAAGAGGAGTGCAGGCTGGTGCAAGAAAGGAAAGTACTGTTGGGCAGAGGTAGGAACGTATGATGGGCACTTAGGGGATCCGTAAACACATAAGGCTTACATGTATGTTAGATTCCTCATGGTGAAGATGGCAGAAGGGATGGTGCCAGTTAGCTGATTGTTGTTGAGAGAACTGCAGAGCAACGGGGTACATTGGCTGGAAGTGAAAATTAAGCGTATGTAGCTGCTTGTATGCATAGGCTGCCACTGTAACCTTTCTCCTGCCATTGGCTGCGTGCCACTGCAAAGGCTTGACCATGAATATTCTACACAACATCCCACCTTCACACGAGAATAACTTCACAAGTATGTGCTCATGGCAGGCATTACGGCTCGCTGCGGCACAAGAAGGCTCACATGCCACTGAGGGTGGTGAGGGTGGAGATGGAGTCGGGAATCGACCCTGTCAAGTTGTTGCCGCTGAGATTTCTGAGCCACAAACACAGAGGAGGGAGGCAGCAACGAGATAGCCTGTCGTGAGTGGGGTGAGCGCAAAAATTCACTATGGTTGCAATGCACTATATGCAGAAATGAGCATTTGACCCGGGCCAACCTGACCCGATTTGAGTGGGCCAGGCGGATACAAGGTTGGGTCGGGTCGGGTCGGATCCGGTCTTCCTGGGTCAAAGTTTCCAAAAATCTGACGTGACCCGGCCTTTAAGGACCGCGCCTCCAGGTTGGTTACAAAAACCTGCTTTCAGGCGAAGTTATTTACCAAAATACAATGGTTTCTTTCTTTTGTGTACAATTTATCAAAAAGTTTGGGTGAAAATCTTGACTGTCATTTTTTGTCTAAAACATGAGAAATAAAATATGGTGCAATTTTGAACCCTGGTGCTATCTGAGCAAGCGATGTTTAGGGTGGGAAAAGGAGGGAGTGTGGGAAGGCTTACTTACATCTCTACACAGCTGACATTCCAGCGTGAGAAGTCTGGTAAGGAGCCCGTGAAGCCATTCCCTCCCAGGTCACTGCACAATTCATAACAAGACAATAAATCCAGGGGCATGAAATATGCATGAAGGGACAGCATTGCACCAGGCACACACAATAGGGGCAGCACACTGTGGCGGCACCACACAGAGTGGTGGCAGCACACAGTGGTGGTAGCACACAATGGTTGAACAACTTACAGCGAGTTAAGAGAAGGAGCGACATTGAGAGTCCTTGGGAGTTGCCCAGAAAAGAAGTTGTTAGCTACTTCTCTGTGTTGGTTGGGAAGCAAAATAAGTTGAGGAAAGCCAAGACACAGATGTTAAAAACCCTTCCAAGCACATGCATGCATCATGCGCCTCTAAAAGGCAGACACCAAGCTCGGGGTGGAAAACTGAAGACTGGAAGATGCAGATGCAAAGCATCCAAAGCAAGTAGCTGGCATGTGATTTCCCGATTTAGTATCTGGCAGTGGAGCAGAGCCTTTGCAAAGTATTATCTGACATGATATTTTTTAGAATAGTCATAATCATTGTATGCATCCTTCAGGCACACCAAGGTGGAAAATGGAAGAAACGGGTCTCTGAAACAAGAGTAATGTAGCTACTTACAGTGAATACAAACTGGGTAACTGAAGCAGGCCAGGTGGGAAAGTTCCGTGGAAATTGTTGTCATTGAGGTTTCTGGGCAATGGTATCAAGGGCCTCAGAGTGACACCACATATGTTCAAGCACAGCACAGCATGGCAGGTTTGATAGACGACCCTTAATCCCAAGTCATCGCCCTACTAGAATTTTTTTTTCGTTCGTGTCCCGTCCCTCTTAAGTCCCACCCACTACACTCCACAGCAGCAGCGCATCAAATCAAGTACTGGTTGAACCTACATGGAGAACAGGTTGACAAGGTTGGTCAATTCGCAGGGGATAGTCCCTGTGAAGTTGTTGTTGCCCAAGCTCCTGCCATGACCATTTTTTATTGCAATTGTCGTTTGACTTGTTCAGGTAGTGATTTTTGGAAGTACTGGAGGATATCACAGCATCTGTTTAATCAGTGCATCCCGCCTTTGCTCGAGGATGTCTCACAGGTATTGAAGGCTCTTCTGGTGCAGAAGGAAATCTGGGAAGGTTCCAGTAAAATGGTTGTTGTCAACATACCTGAATGAGGCCGAAGATACAGGATGTGGTGGGGAAATAATGAAACGAATACATGAGAAAGCATGCACCCATTCGCTCATGTACAGGCCACTCCACACGTGCACAGACATGTGGGAACAAAACGATGGGCTCTGCCACTTAATGCGTGAAGAAGGTATGCATGCACGCAAATGGAGGCTGCCCTAAACACATATAAAATTCCATTATGCACTAACGTGTTCCTCGATGATGCATTGAAACGGAAGGCTACATAAATTGATCAGAAGAGGCAATACTTGGGTGATGTTAACATAGGGTTAGTAACAACGCGTACTGTTGCTGCATCACAAAATGGGTTCTTGCATTGCACTGGTGAGGACAGAGATGAATTGAGTGGACTCACAGGTTTTGGAGGCCAGTGAGTGCACTTAAAGACGCTGGAAGCACACCAGAGAAGTTGTTGTCATTGAGGCGTCTGCAGCGCCAGTATTGGGGAGAGCATTCAGTTCAGATGTTGCAATTGCAAGCAGCCAAACTGGGCGAAGGGATGCAACGGAAAGTAAGCCTAGGCCAATATGAGGCTGCTGAGGAGGCAAAGATGAGAGAACACTCACATTCTTTCAAGCCATGTCATCTGAGCCACCACGTGAAGGCAGCCAAAGTGGACTAAGGGAAGGGAAGCAGGGGCAGGGCCAGCTGAATTGCTGAAGAGGGGAGAGCACTTACATCTCGATGAGACATGTCATCTGAGCCACCACGTCAAGGCCTGAGTTGAGATAGTTGACAGAAATGTCTCTGTCAAGAGGAGCAGGTGCGCGTGCTCAGACACAAAGAGATAGAGACAGAGATAGAGACATAGATTATTTCGTGAGTTTTTCATTTTCGGCGGCTGAGAGCGAGCGAGAGGGAGAGGTACCTTAGCCCTCTGCCCTCTCCCTCTGCCCTCTGCACTCCGTGCCTATTTAAGGCCTGGTGTTGTCTCTCCTGGCTCATTACTTCGTGCGTTTTACATTTTTGGCGGCTCGTGCCGGCGGCCGAAGGCCGCCGCCGCTCGCAAGCGCGGCCTTCGGCCGCGTTGAGTTCGGTGGCAAGGCAAACGACCGGGATCAACACTACAAAGAAACGCAACGACAACAATCACGCAAGGAGGACAAAGCCCTAACGGAGCAGGATGCAATTCTACACGCGAAGGCGCTCTACTGCGTGTACAGGCCAGCCCCCTCCGCCTCAAGCATCGAGCGAAGGCACCCCGCCATCGCATGGAGAAGCTCCGCCGAGAAGCGAAGAGTGTCAACCGGGGTCCCGTTCCGAGCAGCCCCGTGAAGATCAAGAGCAAGGCGGGGGAAGGTACGGGCTAAGGGCGCTGCCCCGGCAGGCGATTCCGACACGGGCGATCAAAGAAGGACGATCGCTTCTGCCCAAGCAACGCACTGTGCTTGGGGCACTTGATCAAAACTGCTTGGTGTGTGACGCATGGCCTCATACACCGCCAGCTGCAAGCTCGCCACCCCCTCAGCCGCCTCCGCCAAGTTCCACATCCGGCACATACTCAGCGTGGGGTCTCTCCCCGCGCGGATGGGAAGAGGTGCAGTTGGAGCTCCGCACTGAGGAATCGCCGCCACGTGACCGGGGACTCGGCCAAGCGAGAACGGGGGTGCTGAGTAGCCCGGGCCTTGGCGACGATTGCGGAACGACCCCCTCTCCGCTGCAGCTGGCAGGTACACGCGCAGAGTTGGGGCGCGCAACAGAGCTACCGCAGCACCAGAGGGGGCGGGAGGGGGTTCGGCAGTCACAGACACATGCACATGTGCCGCGTTCCCCCCCGCCTGCACCTGCTGCACCGCCACCGCAAGCATATTCGCCGCACGATCTACTGCGGAGCCGTGACCGCGACTGTTCCCGCCACGCGCAGAACCACTGCGCCGTCCGCGACGACCTCCAGACCCCGCTGTCTGGGGGCGCGGCAGGGACGGCTCCCGTCGGCGAGAATCCCACCGACGCGCGGGAGATTTGCGGCCACGTCGGGCCGGAGACGGCCGAGGGGATCGATGACGAGGAGACCTCTGGCGCGGGGAGCGCTTCTCCGGCGACGCGTGATCCTGGTGATGCCGCGGAGGGGAGCGGTAGCGAGGGTCGCGGCGGCGAAGTTCCTGCTGATATTCGTCCCACCGACGCCGTGACTCAAGCGGGTCAGGGGACCGACGATCGGGAGACGCCTTACGAGGAGAACGCCGCTGTGGGGAACGGCCTCGCTCGTGACGCGCCGGCAGAGCGTTCGACGCAACAAGAGCAGGAGTGCGTGACTGCTCAGGCGACGCAGGACGCCCCCCCGCACGAAGTGGAAGAGATAACCCGCGCACGAGGCGGCGCATGGGCTCACTCGCGGCTGGACGGGCTTGGACCTGGGGACGTGGAGGCGCAGGCTCCGGGTTTGGCTCCGCCACAAGCTGAGCGCTCTCCGCAATTGCCTCCAACGCGCGGTCGCGACCCACGGACCCCGCCATCACGACCGAGGCGTGAGCCGAGGACGCCAGAGCCTCGGCTAGCGGGGGACGTAGTTGGCGAAAACCGAACGCCGACAAGGCGCAGCCAAGCCAAGCCGCGAGGCACTCCTGTTGGACGGCGCGGAAGCGGGAGAGGACGGCGAGGAGGAAGAAGACACCGAGGAAGCGGGTGACGGAGCGGCGCAAGCGGCTATGCGAGAACCGCAGAGGGAATGCTTCGAGAATGCGTGGGAGGCTGCGAGGAAGCAGCTGACGAGGAAGAAGACGGAGAATCTGGGAATGGCGAGAGTGATGGCGGTGACCCCGGTTTTAACCCTGAAACGGAGGGGGTTTCAGATCCAGAAGCTGAGGAGGAAGAGGAGTTCCTGCTACATGGGGCCGAATTTCCCAACCAGGAGATTGGAGCAGCGTCTGCAACTCGAACACCTGCCAGAAATTGGACCGCGGGGGGAAATCGAAACGCGGGGGGAAATTGGACAAGGGGGGGAAATCGAACCGCGCCAGCAACCACGTCCAACCCAGTCACAGCTAATGGGATCCCTACAGCCCAAACCCCCACCCCACCCATGATCAAACCTGCAGACTTGGCGAACAGACGGGGCCTTTTCGCCCAGGTCGTGGGGTGGGACCTTGAGCCACTTCGCGACAGTCGCCAGCCGCCCCTCGCCCGTCACCCGCCAAAAGACCTGCGCGAATCGTTCGCTGTCTGTTTACTGACCCCACTTCTCCACCTGGCAGCCAATCCCAGCTCGACCTCAGGGTGGAAGTTACTGATCTTCCTCCCGCGAATTTTACTTCGCACCTCGACATCTCGCAAAACCTGACTGGAGCATGATGATGAACCGACTCCTCCGTTTTTGCCAAGGATTCTGGGCCAGCCTGTATGACGAAGCGGTAGAGGCAATCTCCCTCCCACCCCAGCCCCGCTACGCGCCTGACACACAAGGCATTCTCGCCAGAGCAGAGGGACTGGCTAAGCGAGGCAATCTCTCCAAGCCACTCCAGTCACTCCAAGCCACACCCGTCTCACCCGCCTCTCCCAAAGTGCTCGCGGCCTTGGCAGCCAGACACCCGCAAGCACTCCTTCCCCCTGCTTGAGTGGGTACGCGACTTCTCCCCTGCGAACGCACCTGCGATAGAGCCCCGCGATTTCAGACGCATCAACGCCAAACTCCCGAACGGGATAGGGGCAGGGCCCTCGGGAACTACCTTTGAGCACATCCGGGACGCCGCGCTCGGAAACCCCGACATCTTCGCACACCTGCTGGCACTCACCAACACAGCGCTAGCAGGAAAGTTGAGTGCCGAGGCCGCGGAACTCCTTACTGCCTCGCGCCTCCTAGCATTCACGAAGCCTCGGGGGGGAACCCGGCCGATAGCTGTTGGCGAATGCCTTCTACGCATCGTCGCGAAAGCTGCACTGTTCCTGACGGCTGCATCGGCGCGAGCGCACTTCGCGCCTCTTCAATTCGGAGTAGCGGTAGCTAGAGGGATTGAGGCGGCCATCCACACGGCGAGCACCTACCTGGAAGTGAACGCGGGCTCAGTGGCGTTGCAGATTGACCTCGCTAACGCATTCAATGTGGTGGAAAGGGCGGTGGTGTTCGAAAAGCTAAAGAACGACGCACTGGAGAGCCTGGTGCCCCTCGTCTGCCTCTCTTACGGGGCTCCCTCCTCTCTCCACCTCGACCACGATTTCGGTGTGGCGCCTCTTCAAAGCGATAGAGGCGTCCGCCAGGGAGACCCCCTTGGCCCCTTACTTTTCGCGGCGAGCATCCACCCCTGCTTGGTCGCCACTGCATCGGCCCACCCCCAAGTCGTCACCCTCGCCTATGCTGACGACAACCCTTTTGGGCGAAGCGACGGCATGCACGGAGGCCTTCGCACACCTCACCGCCGCGCTGAAGCGTTTGGGCCTCGAGCACAACCTCGGGAAGTGCGAGGCCTGGTCCGCAGCCGCCGTCGACCCCACATCCCTCCCGCCAAACATCTCCATTGCGGCGGATGGGCTGCGGGTCCTTGGGAGCCCTATCGGCACCGCCGCGGGCTGCGCCGAGCGTGTGAGGGAGAGACTGGCGGCTGCGGCAGAACCCCTGCCGCTCCTGTCCCAGATGGACCCCCAGCTGAGCCTGCTCCTACTCACCCGCTGTGTGAGCCGGCGAGCCTCATTCCTGGCCAGGACAACCCCTCTCTCGGCGCTACCTGAGGCTGAGTGGTCGGCGTGGGGGGAGCGGCTGCTACATACCTTCCTGGAGGCGGCTCATATCGTTACACTGAGGAATGATGAGGAGAGGGGGCGGATATGTCGGCAGGCGGCGTTACCTGTCACTTTGGAAGGGCCAGGCATCACCAACCCCGCCAATGAAGGGAGCTACTGTAAGTGTTAGCCCTCAATCTCACACTTTGTATTTTATAACTTTTCCTATATCCTAGCGTAGTGTAGGACTTTGTGTTTGGTTGGGTGTACACCTAAATCCCAACCAAACCCAAATGTAATCTCCAAGCAATCTCCAACCCACCAATTGGAGATTGCATTGGGATTACCCCCAATCCCAGGAGATTGCCCACGATTCTCTTCCCCATTTATTCCTTGCCCATCTTGGATGTACTTAAAGTGTTTCAAGCTCATTACTAATGCATCGGTTCAAAGCCTAAGTTGTGACAGCTACGCCTACCTTGCGTCGGTGGTGGGAACCTCCCACCTCCTTCGCTCCCTGACCGACACACTACACCCCAATGTGACCTCCCCCCTCCAGCTCCGCCCACGCCCTTCCAACGCGTCTTGCAGCGGCAGAAGCAGCCCTCCCGCCAGATGGTCTGGAGGCCCTTCAGGCGGGGAAGGCGAATCCCCAAGGACTCAAGCTGCAACATTCCCTCGCACTGGCGGTTCACACACACCACTACCTAAGGGTCTTGGATGACGCAAGGCAGATGCGCCCTAACCCCCTCTCTGGCCATGCCCAGCGGGTGCAGTCGGTGATAGGCCCTGGAGCAGGAGACTGGCTGCTGGCGCTGCCCATCATCCCCTCGCTTCAGATGGGACCCTCACAGCTCTCAACCGCAGCGGCCTTCCACCTGGGCCTCCCCCTCCCCGTGCCCAGGCGCTGTGACTGCCGATACCGCACCTCCTTCTCGGATGACCTGTCGGAAATTCCAATCCCTTCCCTCTCTGACCCAGACTCCTGTTGGGGAGGTTTTTCCCCCTTATGCCTCGTGCCATTGCCTGACCAGCCTGGCCTCCTCATCCCTTCCCCAACGCTCTTAGTTCCCTGTTTACCTTGTTCAGCCCCGTAGCAGCCTTGCTAGTGACTCTCCTCTAGCGGGGAGACCTAGGGTTTCAGATCTGGTTAGCTTGGCTGACTCCAAGTATCGGAGGTCAGGTTACTCAGTAGCTTGCGAGGTTGGCTTCGTGTAGGTGGCGTGGGCAACGGGTACCATCTAGCGAGATCCAAGTGAATTACGAAAACAAACACGCAAGCAAGGAGTCAACATCCCTACCTAGCCTTAAGTAATCGGAATTGTTACCGTTTCTCAACGGTTTCTACCTTTCAGTTCCCTCCGCAATTCCCCGCCATCTCCCAATTGAGGCATCCCCTCTCTAGTTATCCTCGCTACTTCCCTAGTCATGAATATATATTGTGTTCACCTACTACTACAATTATAATCATGACAGCTGTCGAAAATTCCAACCCCCTCCCTCTCTGACCCAGACTCCTGTTGGGGAGGTTTTTCCCCCTTAAGCCTCGTGCCATTGCCTGACCAGCCTGGCCTCCTCATCCCTTCCCCAACGCTCTTAGTTCCCTGTTTACCTTGTTCAGCCCCGTAGCAGCCTCACCCACTTGCCCCCTCCTCGTGCCTTGGGCGCGATGGACCCCTGATGCTGCTGCCCGCGTTTGCTTTGCCTCCCTTCCTGCCCCTTCCTCTGGAACCTTCGGTCCCCTGGGCCTGGCCCTGGCCAAGTTAGTACAGTGATCTGTCCGCTCCCTCCCTCCTTCTCTGGTCAGCACCACTACTCCGGATTCTTTCACCTCCTTCACCCTCCACCGTTCAACGCTTAGCCCTATATCCATCATGTCTCCCTTGGCCTGTTTCAGGTACACTTCCTCCCCCACTCCCAACGCTGCTGTCTTCCCGCCTCCCGCTGCCTCCTTCCGCTTCATATATCGCTGTGCATCTCGCAGCTGTGTCACGTGGAGGTTCTCGAGCGCCGCTGGCAGTAATTCTCTGAGATACTTCGCCCTGGCCTCCGCCAGCCCTACCCAATCCTCTTCCCTCTCCACTCGCACCGTGCCCGTCAGCATCTTAGGCGCGTCCACTGGCAGGACCGGCTCTCGTCCCAGAAGCAAGTAGTAGGGCGACAGATCTTTGAGGGCGGCTTGCTTACTGAACCTGTAACCAGCTGCTACCCATGGCAGCCTGGCATCCCAGTCCCGCTTGTATTTCTCCCCGTAAGCGCGCAGACCCCTCTTCAATGTCTGGACGAATCTCCCCGTCAAGCCGTCACTCTGCGGGTGATACCTGGAGGTCCGCCTGTGGGTGATCCCTGAGGCTTTCAGCAGTTTGTCAAATTTCCCCATGAATTCCGTCCCCTGATCTGTCAGCACTTCCCCACACGCACCGAATCTCGTCAGCACTTGTTCCTCAAAGGCCTCCGCGATCTTAGCTGAGTTTTTGCTGGGCAGAGCTTTCACTTCGACCCACTTGCTCCCATGCTCTGTCATAATGAGGATGTAGCGCTTACCCCTTCGGCTCAGAGGCATCTCTCCTGCTAGATCTAGCGACCACCGAAATCCTATCCCCTGTATCGGCAGGGACTGTAACTCCGTTCTCCCTCGATCCAGCTCCGCCTTGTTCCTGCTGCATAATTCGCAGGACTCCACCCAACTCCGGATATCTCTCCTCATCCCAGCCCACCACCACCCTGTCTCAACCAGCTGGGCTGTCCTTAGGCTGCCGTAATGCCCCAGTTGTCTGTGCACCTGTCGGATGATCTGGTCTCTCTCTTCCTTCCTAGGAACCAGCTTCCACCCACTGCTGGTGTTCTTTTGCAACTGCCCCTGGAGCCACCTGTAATGTGCCCCCCTGGCCCTGGCCCTCTCGCTGACTAGGGAGGTCTCTGTAGTCTTCCCTTGCACCCAGTCTAGCACCTCTTGATCTTCCCATACATCCTCGGGCCCCCCTGCTTTCGCCTTCCGCGCTCCCTCTCCGTCTATGCCCTTCGCCAGTGCCACCAAACACGCCGATGGCCGTTCTGGGGGCGGGTTCCTCGAGAGCCCGTCCACATGCTGCATAGTCTTCCCCGCGCGGTGCCGGATAGAGAACTCGTACTCCTGCAGCTGCATTGCCCAGCGAGCATTCCGCCCTATCAGCGCTTGGTTTGTCATCAACCAAGTGAGGGGTTGGTGATCCGTCACCAACTCGAATGGCCTTCCCTGCAGATACACTCTGAAGTGGGTTATCGCCCAAACTGCTGCCAGCCCTTCCCCTTCGTAGGAACTGTAGTTTGCTTCGGCCGGGTTACAACTCCGGCTGGCGAACGCCACCACCCTCTCCTCTCCTTCCGTTTTCTGGCACAAGATTTCCCCCATCCCCGCGCTGCTCCAATCAGTGTACAGCGTGAAAAGATCCTCCTTGTTCGGTAGCGCGAGAACAGTGGCGGTATTCACCGCCCCCAGCAGTGCTTTCAGTGCTTCCTGCTCCCCGTCTCCCCATTGCCACACCTGGTCTTCCCTCAACAGGCGGTTCAGGACGGCGGCGGTCTTGCTGAAGTTCGGCACGAACTTCCGATAATAGTTCAAGAACCCCAGCACGGCCCTTAACGTGCTTCTGTCCTTGGGTGCCGGGACCCGATCCAGCACCTCTGCCTTCGCCTGTTGGATGCCCACTGTCCCCCCTTGCACTTGGAATCCCAGGTATGTCACGGAGGTGTTGCCAAAGCTGCACTTCTTCGGGTGACAAGTGAGCCCTGCTGCCTGAATCGCTTCCAGAGTCGCCCACACATCCTCCACGTGCTGTTCTGCGTTGGGGCTGAACACGATCACGTCATCGATATAGCAGGCCGCCGCGGGGACTCCTCTCAGCACTGTATCCATCACTCTTTGGAACAGTGCGGGCGCGTTCTTCAGCCCGAACGGCATGAACTTCCATTCACAAAGGCCGTCGGGTCCGTGGAAGGCTGTCTTTTTCAGGTCCTCTAATCGTATGGGTATCTGGTTAAAGCCTTGCCGTAGGTCCAGCATGGAGAACACGACGGCTCCTTGCAACTTGTCAAAGATCTCTTCCGCCGTCTGCATGGGATACCGGTCGGCCACTGTAACTTTGTTGAGGCCGCGGTAGTCCCCACACATCCTCCGGGCTGACACTTCCCCCGTAAGGTCTTTGCGCGAGGCAACTACTGTAGCTGCGGCAAAGTCACTCTCTGACCGTTGGATCAGCCCGGCTTCCATCAGCTCCGCGCACTTCTCGACACAGATATCTATATCTCCTGGGCTCATGCGCCGCTTCCGCTGATATATCGGCATTTCCGTAGTAAGCATGATCCGCATCTCCTGTGTCTTGCACTTCCCCAACTCCTGCAGCGTGTACGCAAAAGCTCCCCGATACTGCTGCAACACCCCTTGCATCGCGACTGCGGCCGACCCCGTTAGCCCTTCCCCCAGAGGCCAAGCGTCTCCCGGCTTACGTTCCGACCCTTCTTGCTTGACTCCACCCTGGGGCTCCCCTTCGTCTTCTTTCCCGGTGCCTTTCTCCGCCATAGCCAGGTAGGCATATCCCTCTTCCACCCGCTCCTCATATCGTTCCCTTATCTCCTCCAGCACCTTCCGGTGCTCCGCTGCTGTCTCGTACTCCAGAACTCGTTCGCTGAGTGCTATGTCCCGTTGCAATTCCCTTTCCTTGAGCTGGATGCGGGTAGTCTCTATCAGCCACATCATGACGTTCACATCCATAGACCTTCCCAATGCTGCCCTCCTCTGCTGCTCCGTCACTTCGGGATGTGCGGTAGCGCCCCATAGGTGTCCCATCGCCGCTTCACGCTCATTGGCCGTCGGCTCCTCCCATCGTCCCTTGCGCACGTCATATATCATGCCTGGGCCCGGCAGCTCCCCCTCCATCTTGAACCCCCGGGCCTCGGCGTAGGACACAAGGGTGGGTAGCGCCTGCCTCGGTTTTCCTGGCACATTACACTGGTACTGAGAGGGGTGGTCTGAGCTGGTGACTGGTGCAGGTAAGCGGTTAGGCTCCAGGATGTCGCTCACCAGCCTCGGCTCGGGCCTCTGCATCCGAGCGAGCGCGTGTCGCAACGACGCCACTGATATCCCGTTCTGCCAGTATCTTCTCGGCCTATGCGCTCGGGAACCCAGCTGTGCCGCGTCGGTCGGCTGGCACT